CTTAGATTACATGCCACAGCCGAAGAAACGGCCATCTTTCCACCGTCTTCCTGTCGCGGCATTGAGATCTCTTCGAGGATAAGTACGCATTATTATTTCCTTTCGTCGTTTTTCTCGGTACCTCCGTTTTTTAATTCTCGGTAAAAAAGTTGAGCCGTGTGTGTTTCACAGAGTACCTTAAATTAATACCGATTGCTCGACGAGTGATTAATTAATATATCGAAGCAAACGTTCTCTGAAGAATTCGAGTGCTATTGTATTGTACAGGTGGCGGCTGCTAACAAATTCTTAACGCGTAAAATGAGTATCGACGACACAAAACTGATGTCGTCTCGTTGAAAATTTCATTTCTTTTTTTTTTTTGTACAAATGCGGAGACTCTTATCGAATCGAGTCGCTCTTAAGTTGTAAAATTAGTCGCTGTCTACCATTCACGCAAATTACTCAATGAAATGTTATTGTAGCACGAATTTAAAATACAGATGAAATGGGCGTTGCGCAACGATCAGTTACAGAAGAAAACGTTAAATATACACACTTAATTAATCTACATAATTTACAGGTTCCACTTTCTGGCTCCATTTACTCCGCTAGTCGTTTGTTCGTTCTAAGCATTTGTAACACGCAGGAGATATTCGTTAGTTTTCTAGTAATATGGTGAATATTTCCACCGCGATTGACAATTCAGAATAAACGAAAACGCAGCGAAAACTATTAGGCATTCGTTAATTTAAGAGGGGATGATTTCTTGAGCTTCCGATTCTTAAAAATAAATATTGCCTTTGAACAATTGCAAGAACCATTTTACAAAATGAGCTTTTTTTCTTATAATAAATTTTCAAACTTCATAAACAGATTTTACTTTGCATTTTTCGATCTGCTTCGTCAGACAATGGTTGATAAAATTTCGTGTACACCTTACGAACAGCTTTCGTTGTAACTTTTGTTTCAGCATATTTGGTAAAAAAAAGTCATATTATTTTCAAGACAACACAACTCGAATCTATTTTAATTATTAATAACGTATCTTTTGTGTACGAATTTTATATGACTATATAATACAGAGAAAGATACGAGTTTCATTTCTTTTTGTTGTTTTATAAAGAAAAAAGATATAATTGTAAGTCACGTACATTTTTCTACGTAGATTGCGATTTGTGAGGTGTTGCATGTTACCGAGTGTCGTGCAAGTTTCTCGAGGTGCCTAGGTCGAGCGAATGGACTGAACTTCATTAATGTATCCTCAAATTAGGCTAATTGCTCTTATTAGAGAAGAAATCTCGGAGGTCGACTTTGCAAAATACTGGTGCGTTTACTGTGTTAAGAGAATATAGACACTTAAAGTAAAACAGTACAAATTTCTTCGATATTATAAATATACTTCGAAAGATTACAATACGCTTATCGATTATAATATAGTTCGTAGTTTTATTATATTAGGTAGGTATCTCTGGCAAAATTTAATCAGTTTTCCAAACAAAAGCAATTTAAATGGTCCATAAATTATTATAACTTTCAAAATCATCGTTACTTCGTTTAAAATTTTATGTATTCCGTTTATATTATATTAATCGTATAAATGATCGCGTCGACTTCGCGCGGGATCCGTTCCGTACGAATTCGCTAATTTTGTCGCGCAAAGCCAATCTCCAAGAAATCGTTTCGATTTCGCGTTCGTGCGCGGCAATCGTTTCTTTTTCGCCACTGTACACACACACACGTGCGCGCTCACGTTCGCTACTCAACTCATTATCAGTTAATCAACGATAAACCGTTTGTCCTCCTACAGCGCCAGTCCGTCGAATACTGTCTCTGCTTAGAATCTACTTGGCGGGGTGAGATCGACGATTGGAATGGCTGGTGAAACAAAATGGCGTAGTACGAAGGAGGACGGTGAGCGAATGAAACGCAACTCAATCTAGCGAAATGTCACCAACACCGAGAAACGTCCAATAAACATACAACATTCGTTAAACAAAATTTTTATCCGGAACCAACGTATTTGATACAACTATTTCTACTTACTCAAAATTTACTTTGCTATCGCAGAAAATAACACGTATAAACAAATTAAATTGAATTCATATCACGAGTTCCTTCGAGTACAGAAAAATGTATTTAAATTATTTTAACAATCAATAAAGGTACTTTAGATAATTCGTATTCAATCATCCTGTACGATATAACGTTTCAAAGAGGAATTAATTTTGTAACGTTTTCGATGATTTTTATTGACTTATCCTGTGTGAATAAAATTTTTAAGTCTAAAAACTTTAAGGTTCTTGAATTGCAAAAGGAAATTAACGCGTTTCTCGGTATTCGTGGGTATCACGATTGATGTAACGACATGCGTGGGGCGAAATGGTCGCGGTAAAACGTAATATTAAAAATTGACCGGGGAACGATACGCAAGACGACAATTGGTAGGACAAATATACAGCGATGCTCGGTACCGATCGCGGCGCAGTACGAGCGGCACCGGCACACCGAAATACACGTTACTTACAATATTCGTACAAGTGCTTACACTACGCCCGGACCACTCGATCCGACGGGGCTTCGCCTAACCGATAAATTGACTATTAATATTTCCGTAGAGAATTTTACAAATCAGTCGAGACACGCGCGTGGAAATATGCGCCCGACGACGTTGCTGCCGAAAGTCGCGGTGGTGCTCGTTCGAAACAGCGTTGGGCAAATTTTAATAAAACGATCGACGATTACCATTAAAATACACTCTAACCGCTCACGACGATCGACACACCATTCAAGTGACTGTTGATAGTCTTAGAACGTTTCAGATCAATCGATCGAACGATTTAAAATTTTCAACCATTTAAGAATATACTCTTGAAGCTTTGGTTTAAAATTTCTCCAACTTTATTGGTTGGAGAATATTTTCTGTCGTGTAATCTGAACGCACTGTGCAGTAGAATCGGACAGGATTCTGGAGGCTTTTATGAGTCACAATGAAATCAATTTTTATTTAATAGAAATTTGAAATGAGATATAAAAGTAAACAAATTTTCATTCATGACAAATTCACACTGATTCGTTTATATTATTCGAATACATTTCTATCTAGGTGAAACGTTATTCGTTGTTGATTTGATCAATTAATGATTACTTTAACACTTTTGTTTAAATTACTGTGGAAGTAATTTTTTGTTCGAATTATGTTACTTTTAATATTGTGTTATCGAAGAAAAATGATTGAACTTTGAGAATAATTCCATGTTAAAATTTAAAAAGATGCCTTTCAACACCTAAATAAATAAAAACTAAATTTTTAACAGAAACCGATAAAGTTACACAAAAAATCCATATAAATTTTTTTGTAAGTTTGTAAAAATGCACAGTTTCGTAGCAGAAAATGATAATTTTAGTCGGGATTGAAAGAGTTGATGCCCAACTCCGATTCGAAAGCGTCGCGCCTGACCGAGCGTCGAACTCACCGAAGAAAGGATCTTCGCCATTTCCTTCTTCGTTCGCTCGCCGATCTATTTATTATTTCCCGTCTCAGTTTCCGTGTCTTTCTCCCGTTGTAATTGAAATTTCCGGCCGGTTCGATATTGACAGAAAATAAATATTAATACTATGTCGATACTTTAACCGTGAGCTTTTTCTCGACAGCCGGCCATCGTTATCTCGCGCTACTATACCTTTGTGTGTGTGTGTGTGTATTTTTTTTTGCTTTTTAATCTTCGCTTTACGTGTCTGTGTGTTATTCCTTTTACATAATATGTATATGTTTATATATTTATATTTATATTTATATTTATATTTATATCGCTATATAATATTAATTATAATAATTACATATGCGCGCGGTAACTCTCTTTGTTTCGCGGACATTCACGTACGTTCCACGTTTCTGTACCCTTTGTTTTCCACAATGCGCTTTCTCTCTCTTTCTATATATATATATATTTATATTTATTTATTTATTTATAAATCCATATTTATAATATATATATACTGTAATGTCAATAATAATACTATCAATAATTAATGAGGATGGTGGGTGACTGTGACGATGACAACGATGAGGATGGTTCTCGACATGCGAACAATATCTAACGTGTCTTTAATAATTCTAGTACGACAGACCACATTACGGTAGGATCGTCGCCCTTTGTCTTGCGAACGAGGAAGGCGTCGCGAATGTGTCCTTTTTCCCTTTTCGCGATTCTTTACACTCGACAACGATACAAGATCCGTGTGCGTGGGGGACCGAGAGCAGGCGCGCGTTCGCTGGAAGAAACGGAAACAATCGACCTGTAACTTGAATAGCGAGCTCGGTGGTAAACGTGGATGCGGGGAGGGGCGGGGGACGAGGGATGGGGTGAAGGGTCGGAGTAAACGTTTAAAATGAGAAATGCCCTTTAAAACGCGACATCGCGACGATACGCAAGCGCGGCAGTGATACTGGCAGTAGTAAAACGTTGACAAATCATTTCTTTCGGTAACCGATGACTGTCGCGACGACAATAATATAGAACCGAGCAAACGTACCGAGACATCGACGTCGATAAGTAGTAACTATGATTGTGACTAAAAATAATAAATCTATATATATATATATATATAGATTTGTTTTATTAATAGAAAAGTCTCACGTGTAGGTACATACACGCGAATTCACTACGTATACGCGTAACGTGATATACAGATAGGTGTGTGCACCCTTTTCAGGTTACGCGCCACTCACGGATGCCGCCATTTTTGCTCACCGTGACTCAAGAGGATTTATTGCAACAACCGTTCGTCACGCGACGAGCTTCGAGTAGCTCTTTTCTCAGCCCTTCGTTGAGATCACCGTTAACGATCTCATATAGAGAGACACTTGTTTCTCTCGTTGTCAAGCACCTCTGGACGAACGCCTAATTCGTGATGGCGTCGTGCTCGATGATTACTGAACGAAACGTAACGTCTTTGTTGCTCGGGTTACGGAAACACCCACTTCGGTGGTATTTCTTTGTTTCCTCCTGTGACTGTTATTTGTCCCCTTTATTCGTCGCGGCTATCCTTTGAAAAGTTTGTTCGTAACTCGCGGCTCCTCGGAGGACAGTTCTTTCTGTATTCCCTTGCGTATTAAAGTCACACGAACACTACGTTTCCCAATGATGTACGGGATCGTGCGAACTTACAAGTTTCGTGGTTGCTCCGCGACCCTTTAGTCCTCTTCGTCGCTTTCCTCTGCGGGACCGTACATGTCGGCCAGCTTGTCGAATCTGGGACCCCAGGCACCTAAGTACTCGTACTTGTGCTGCTCGTCATCCGTACCTGCTGGTTCCAATCTTTGTTTATAGTATGTTTCACATTGGCTCGATATCTAAGAAAGCAATTTTTTAAAAATTCAAAAATAGGTTTAAAGGGCCTTTCTACCTTGTGGGATTTAAGAAATCGAATTTTTTTTTGTGCATTTTCTTTTAGTATGTAGTCTCGAAAATATATCTGCCAAATATTAAATTGAAATTCGGAAAACTAACAAAGTTATAGCCTGCTGTAATGTACCGCGCGCAGGTATAACAACTGGACGTGAAACTTTAAAGCTGTTTTTTTTCGAAACTACATTTTTCGGCGCTGCGTATGTGATAACGAAAAAACTATTCAAGATATCAACATGAAATTTATACAGTATCTTTAGAACTGGTCTCCCTATAGCATGAACTAGGATAATTGCGATATATGTAATATTTTTTCTTTTATTAACAAAAAAGCAACCGAATATATGAAAGTATTCAGTATTTTTTCGTAAAATAGCTGCCATTTTGCCATTTTTTGTTTTTTTGAAAAGATCCTAGTTCATGCTATAACCACACTCACCTACATTAAGAATATCGTTGGTTCTTGGATTTCGGATAACTTGTTCGCAAGATATCACATACGCAGTCGGGCGCCGTTCGTAAAAACTGTTGTTTGTTGATCAACAAAAAGAGCGTAATCAATAGATATTATGCGTTGCAAAAATTCGTAAATATAGCTAAATATATAATAAATGTATCTACAAAACACGGAATTAATCGCTCTTTAATAGCCCGCAAAAGAAAATCACAAAGAAACATGTATTTTTCGTGCCTACAAGGTAGAATGGCCCCTTAAGGAGGTATTCGTGTCTACAATTAAAAACAAATCGATTTTATTGCACTTTCTTAAAATATATGTCGTTGAAAATATGTGTGCAACAGGATTTGTTTTAATTCATAATTAAACTAATTAACTTTCGACTGAAACAATTTTTCATCGGACTACATATTGTGAGTGCCTGAAAAATTGTAGCGACAGTTGTGTGCCACACCCTGTATAATAGCACAATTGTATGTTTTTGACAAGCTTTTCTCCATATCCTCCAACATTAGCTAATTGCGTCTTATTATACATGTACTTTAAATGTACTTATTACTTTCTTAGATATCAAGCCAATGCTCTTGTAAAACATACTGTATACCCCTCTTCTGCAATAATATTTCTAATTCAAGCTGGGAGCTCTCCTATTTAGTTTTTATTTCTTGAGCGTTTCCAATATTACTCGAAAATCAACTTTGTTTTTTATATTAGAAATCTACCGCTGTACAAATTGTTATTATACAAGGAAACAGAATAAACAACGAAATAATGTCACGAACTAGTAATGATGTTGTTGGAACGATTAGTTTTAAAAACACTTTCAGAGGTTAGAATATTATGTTTTAGATAAAAATTAGTAACTATACGCACCGGAAGCTACCGATGACAGTGAACCCGCGATGCTTCCGCCACCCTCGTAAGCGTAATTTCGTAAATCATCGAATGGCGGTGCGTTTGGATCGCTGTCAGCCCTCTTTTTATGATCTTCTATGAAGATACCCACGTTTGGCTCGGGTCCTAGAGGATCTAGAAAATGTTCCCAAAGGATTGTTAGCGTTTTCAAAGGACAACAGCTAAAGCAACACAATCCGAGTTAATAAGAAGATATGATAACTTACACGGCACTTTACATGGTGGCAATTTTCCACCCATTTCCGGTATTGGTCCTCCGATAGGAATTTGAAGGGGCGTGATGTCGAATGCTGTCATGTCGTCTTCACCGCCACCTTCGTCGTCGTAATTAATAATATTTTCTCTCACATCATCGTCAGGGCCAGGATACTTGATGTGAGACTCCCTTCTTCTATTGTAGACAACAAATACTAGGACGAGAACTGTAAATCGAAGGGAGATTATGTTAATAATTTTAATAATTTTGTGTATCTTCGTTTCTGTTCGATCAAATAATCTTGTGCTATTATTCCTACGCATCGACTTTGAACACGAGCTATCGCTGCCACGAAATACTCACCAAGGATAATTAGAAGACAGACTAAAATGGCTGCCAACGCTCCCATGCTGAGTTTTAGCGTTTGTCCTTCCTGCACGAGTTCGCAATTTTCTCCCCAGAAACTGTCAGGACAAATGCATCTGTACCGGAATCGAGGATCCTGATTGATACACCTGCCTCCGTTCAAGCAAGGATAATCTATGCATTCGTTTTTATCCATGCATCCTTTATTATCCGGAGATGGAATTCTTCCTTCTCCGCATCTAAACGCAGGAATAAAATTATGTTTATAAATATTGTATTGCGTCAATTGGGCAAATAACAAAGAAAATTTATTTTTTTGTCCGCGTAATCTGTTTTAGTATCACTTTCGTTAGTCCTGTAATCACATACGATGTTTCTAGAGAAACTATTTCTGAAGTACATTGTAACGTGGGTTATAAATAACTCAAGGGCAGTTACTCGGGGGTTAAAAATATTCTGTCACACTTACGTGCACTCGAATGTGTTCCAAAGGTCGATGCACTCGTAGGGATCCTGGCAAATTATGTTGGCACAGGGTTTGTTCGACGGGCAATTTCTTTCTAGATTTCTAGCCATCGTTGCTTGGCCCCATTGCGTTCCATTCATAGCAGGCGGTAGTGGTAGATGTTTTCCTTCCAGTCTTATGTCATCGAGACATCCTAATTGAAACACATTTAAAATATTATGATACACATTCATTTTCTTGCATCCATATTTATTATTTGCAACTTCGTGTCAAACCCCTTCTAATCATACAGTTTACATCAACTGAAGTAATTCATAGTAACAAAAAATGTCTGCATCCAAATACAATTACAAATTACTATCTTAAATTATATTTTTGTAACGTTTAATTAATAAAAATAATAATTACAGCGAAATGTTTGTGTATATTTTACTCTTCCCAGTGAACATTATAACCCTTTGAAATCTCAGATCGTTTTTTTGAATAACCTGCATGGTCAAAATCATAAGAGATTTACCTTTCTGATAATCGGCGAACACCTCGAAAGTTCGAACACCAGTGTATTCAGCCTTGCCACCCGCGTAAACGCCTTCCTGTTTGTCAACGAGCAGCCATTGGTGTCCTTCGAAGGAAAAGCTCTCGTTGAACCTTCTTCCTTCACCACCGTCTATTTCCAAAGTTGCAGCCGACCCGTATCTCGAAACTCTAACCGTGTGCCATTGTCCATCATCGACCGTTATCGCGGTCAGCCAGATATTTCGTTCCTCGGTCCTCAGACTATTCAAATTGTAGCGGAAGTGCAGCCTTTTATCCTTGATCTACAAATTAAAGGATCCGCCGTTTACTTATTATGCTTCAAACTTAACTGTGCTACCTCCCCCGAGTTACAATATACATTTGTCATTCTTTCCACATGTTTTTTTTTTATATCAGGAACATGAATTCATAATAAAAAGTAGGCAAAAGGTAACACAACAAATCATGAAAGTTGAAATTGTACTTGGGGTTGTATAGACTCGAGGAGAGCAGCACGTGTAAACGAGTATTAATAAACTTTAATATTTGTCAGTATAAATTGTGGTCAACAGTGTAAGCTTAATAAAAGAATTTTCAAATTTCACAAGCTTGTGGAGACAGTGGTTCAAGTACTCGCTTCCAAAATGACGTATTCTCTTAATTTAACATTTATCATTCTAGCCATGTCAATAAACGAGCAAAAAATAAACCGAATGTATAATTGTCGCCAGCAGTGTATATGTAATTGATAAAAGAATCTCCAATGTTCCGAAGGATGTGAGAACAGTGGTTCAAGTACTCACCTCTAAAATGGCGTATTCTCTATTATGCTGGTCGCTGACTCTGAACACTTCACCGTAGGTCTCCCGAGTACGGAATCTCAATTGGATCTGAGTGGAGTATTTGTCAGGTTCGAAGGACAAGGCGTATTTAACGTAGCTATGTGCTTTGAATGTCGTCGAAATGGTGGGTGACATGCATCCTGGACCGGTCCATCCTGGGTTACACTGACATCTCGCTTCTGTGAAGCTTCCCACGCAAGTACCGTGTTCCCAGCATCGCAACGTGGATTCCTGGTTGTTGCAGATTTCGTCTGTCTGAGGGCAGCCGGCCACGCTGTTCCTCGATAGGCCAGGATGGGCAAGATCGTACAGTTTGCTGTTGTGGAACAGTTTTTTAATGCAGCCATCGAAACCTTTGCCAACCGGCATGTGCTTCCATTTGTAGTGAGTCGGGTCGAACTGCTCGATGTACAGGCCACCTATTTGCAATGGCGCGTTCACGTTCAAGTACTCGTTGAATGGCGGTATGGTGCCTTGAGCCTGGCAACTGGTATCGTTGAATTCTGGAGGCGTGCCATCCTCCGGCTCCGAGATGTCAGCCGACTTGCAATAATCGATGATAAGCTTCACCGTCTGCAACATTAGGAATAATTGATATGCTTATAGCAATAGTCAGGACACTTAACTCTGACAAAAAGTAAATAAAAGTCTCTATATTCGTAACACTACATGACGAGAAGAAGAATTCTGACCTCTGTATTCCAAAAGATGTCGAGCCTGTGCCATTCTCCGTCGTCCAAAGTTCTTTTCGGTTTAACTTTCAACTCCAGAGTACCAGATCCGAAGTCTATCAACAAACGAGGTATTCCACGTTCCAGCTCGACGGATATAAAATCTGCAAGAACGATAATAAATTATTATACTATAAATTGGTTCTTTGTCAACCATTGTTTGTTAAAAGTGTAACTTATTATATTAAAGAGTGCAAAACTCTATCGGTGAATGTTCATTGTTACAGAAAAAGGAAATAGCTTGCTGTTATATTTATTTTTAACCTTAACATCAACAGCAATAGAAAATTATTTACAAGAAGTAGAATTCTATTCTTCGCTGTAATTTATATTTTATTTATCCTGACTGCCCCAGAACTAATTAAAATGCCACGTGGTAGCTTACCAGAAACCATAATCTCATCAGCTTCCGGTGGTACGATAGGACCGTTGTACAGAAGTAAACCGTCGGGTTTCTTCGTAATGAATTCGAAGCTCAAATGGCTATTGTCGCACATTTCTAATGCAGGATACCACGCCCAGCCATTGCCACGGAAGCTTCTCGCAGTTTGTTGACACCTTGGACCGTTGTATCCTGCTGGGCATTGGCATCTGCGTGACAGAGAAACGAAATAATTATCAATTCATATAAACGTTATCTTTGTTGTACGAATTTCCATAAACCGATGCTTACGATAATCCAAATCGTCCTTCCACGCAACGTCCGCCATTGTAACAAGGGCTGCTCCTACAAGACTCCTCTTTGCTGAAGTTACGCGCACCGCATGTACACTCTGCGATTACATCCACCCTCACGCCGACAAGGGCGGTTTTGTTTGCGTTGACCATGTATGGTAAGCTGCTGATATCCAAGGTGTTTGTGCAACTACCCTCGCACATCTCGTTCTCGTAGTAACACTCGTCGATCCCCACCATCGTTATATTGATCCCGACCTCGTTCTCGATCTTATCGGGTTTGAAACAATGTTTTCGATAAAATTTTATTTTTCACGCGTGGGGTGTTCGGTGCATTATACTTATGGAAGAAGAAATCTATTCAGCTTGGCTGTATTTTGTAATGCATATTTAAATTTGGTAATTGTTCAGCTTGGTTGTATTTCGTAATATAAACTTGATAGTACCGACAAGTAAATATTATTATTTGTAAACAGGAACGTTGTTAATCGTTAAATTGGTCATCTTATATTTTTTTTTTATAAGACATCCATGATATTTTCGACTTTTGAGACTAAAATGCAATAATTTACCTCTTCGCGATGCATCAACACGATTCCGTTCAATCTGACAGGTTTGTAATAAGGAGATCCATGGGCCGCGAATCTGATATCCGTCAGCGGTGGATGTATTCTGCGTAATTGGACGCTAAACACGTCCACATTTTCCCTATCGATGTTTAACAAATGGGCTAATTTCTCTCGAAACAGTTCCGTTTTGCTTCGCGACAGCGTTTGGGACTGGAAAATTAAAACAACAAAGTATATTTTACAATTTTTTACGGCATCGACGTAACCGGAATTTGGAAGAGGAGAGTGTTAGTGACAAATACTTACTTTATAATCCCAAACTCGTATGAAGTCCTCGTCGGTTATGCCAGATATTCGAATAGATCCCGAGTTCAACACGGCTTCGTGCGGAATAGTTTTCACCGTAACAGTCACATTCGCAGGCACGTCCGTTTGCGTGTGCTTCCGATCGTAGACAGTGAAACGCAGATGATATCTACCGTCGGGTGTGCCTGATTTCATGTAGATCATACCGGTGTCTTCGTCCAGCTTGAATTGAGCGTGCTCCAGATTTTCCCAATAGAACTTCTTATCTGGTAAATCCCAGTCGTCCAAGTCGTACACGTAAACTCTACCTATCTCTGTGTCTGGTGATTGTCCCTGTGAGATCGATTGAATTTATAATTAAATTGTAGTACCCATTTAACCACAGACAATAGATCCATCTGTCGAATTTCATTAAAATCGGTGAAATCGTTTCTGACACCATTTATAAGAGAAACATAAATTTAGTTTGCAGAAGATGGCACGAATTATTAGGTACTTTCAGAATGGGATTCAGGATTAATGCTTCAAATATCAAGATCTGGTATAAAATTTTATGGAATTATAAAATTATAGAATGATCTAATTTATATAAGTATAAATACGTACTGCGTAATTATATACAAAAATGTCTTTGGAGCCTGGCTGCATTTTGTTATCATTAGTGTCCCCGATAATAATCGTTAAGGTGCTGGTTCCAGACATACTAGGTGTCCCAGCATCCTTGATAACAATGGGTATCAAATATTCCTTTTGTTGTTCTCTATCAAACGATCGTAACGATGTCACAATGGCCATGCCATCCCCGTTTGCCCCCTCTGTTGAAAGAAAAGCAGGGCGTTTAACACTCTAGGGTATAATACAGTGAACGAAATGGTAATTTTATAGTACAAGGAACAGAATATTTCAAGCTATTAAACATAACTGTAACAGTACCAGTTACTAACACTATTTTAGTTTTTTTTAAAGAAACTCAAAAACTGGTTTGTTTTCAACAGAAATAAAATAGCTTTTTTTAGCCCTACACATTGGTTATCTTTTATTATTCTTCGATTAACTGGATCACTAATTGTTCTTGTAGAAGTTTTGTCGAGCTGCCTGAAGACTTACTGTTATCGCTTTCGACTTTGAAACTGGCTCGAATCACGTCCTCCGCCTTCGGGTCCATTCTGAATGTGAATGGCGGTCCGTTGCTCTTCGATCGGTCGTCGTCGTCCGTCGCCAGAATCTCCACCACCTTCTTCGTTTGCGAATGCTCTTGCAGAACTGGTCGATAATCTTTCAGGAAACGCGGTGGATTATCGTTTATGTCGTGGATGATCACGGTCAGCGTGGCTGTCGCAGTCTTTGGCGGAATACCATCGTCGATGGCCAAGATCTTCACCTATAAATATTTTAATCCATTGGATTTAGTCCTGATTGACTTCTAACAATGTAGACTCCAAGCAAATAGAAAAAAACTCAATGAAAAATGTCCTTAAATCGTTTAAGTATCCTTCCTGGATGATACGAAGAGTGTTGAGAGGTCTAATAATTCTTGGCTCTATCCTTTTAACATACTTGTTAGGCATAATAAAGCCTCACCCTTTAACATTTATATGCGTCAAATACAATGGCGGACAAAAGTAACTTAACACTATTTCTACCAAAGGTGTCAGCAAAAGGCACTTTGAAAATTTTAACTTGACACTATCGTCTAAATCACATTGTTTCAACGAAGTAATATTGAGAACAACTCACATTAATAATTATTTTCTCAGTTACCTACATTCAAATACAAATATTTCAAAAGGTCCCTTATGGTTGAAATAAACTGCAGTAAACAAAGGTATTGTTTTTATTAGAAGGGATATATATATATTGTAAAATTGTTCGAGTTGTGTACAAGCAAATTAACTTCATAGGTAGAGGATGGACGACAATGAAGACAAATAGAAACCAGAGTGTTGGCAATAAAATATAAATTTGAAAGTATGTTCTATAATTTAACTACCTGATGTCGTGACGACTCCTCGCGATCGAGACTCCTCTGAATCGATACGGTGCCGTTTTCGTTGATCGAAAATTGCCTTTTACGATCAGAGCTTCTGTCGATCGAGTAGTACACTTTGCTCTTGCCACCCTGGTCGGGATCAGTGGCCGTAAATGTTTCTAGGTTGTTCCCGATATGAGCGTCTTCCGGCACCGTGGTCTCGATGTTTGCCTTTTCGAATTGCGGTTGGTTATCGTTTATGTCGCGCAGCTTCACCGTTACGTAACAGTTGGCCACGTGATATTTATCGTTGGCATTGTCTTCGCCCTGCACAAATGTTAAGAACGACAGAAAATTGTTATTAACGCCGACAGAGTCTGGATCGATCGATAACTAAGGTCTCCGATCCTATAAAGTATGTTTAACATAGGGATTAACACTTTAACTGCCACGTCATCCATATGTGGATGACAGAACTTTTAACCGCGGAACTAAAACGATTAATTCTCAAGTTGAAATGTTAAAAATACATTTGAATAGGCTTCGTAAATTTTAGTGAAGTTACGAAAGTAAATGCTACGACAGGTTTTAAGTTACATAGTCTACAATTGTCTAAAATCAAAGTTTTGATCTCGTAAACAATTTTAGGATTTTGAGACTGGCAGTCGATGTGTTAATGAAATTCATCTCAAAATAAAAATAGTATTATTGTACTTAAAACGTACATATCTACTTTTTTACATAATAGGGTTTACAATTTAAATAGTAAGTCTCAATATCAATTCTATTTTTTTCCATGCGTATTTTTATATATATTTTGTATCTACAAGTATTAATCGTACAATGGCGTTGTTGAAGGCCTGGTTATCAATCAAAGTAGATTTCGACACCTTTCAAGTAGTAGAGTACTTCGATATCGAATTCCTTAAAAACTATAAATTATTACGCACCCTATCGTTGACTTGTATCTTGAACCTAAAACCGTTGCTCTGCAGTTGGTCTTCGTAATCCAACGACTGCACGATCTTCAGGGATCCGGTGCCATCGTTGTTCCTCACCATTGTAAACTTGTCTGCACCGTAGCCGCTATTTTCGATCACCTAAACGATTCACAATAGTCACTTTAGAGAACTGTGACAAACTACTCTTTTAGAAACGAAAGACAATTTGAGTCTATATACTTTCAAACGAGTTATTTATGAGCATTCAAATATGTTAATATTAATCACATGGATAAAATGTACTATAAAATACTATTAAAATATAATATATTATACGTACATATACTATATGTATGTACAGAATTTTTCGAGAAACTTTCAGTATAAAAAAAGTTTGTTAGATATTAAAAACCTAATATTTGAAAGTCGAATTAATGTGTGGCGTCGCCTCCCATGCTCGCCACCAGAGGGGTCGCGCTCTCACAAGCGCTCGACCGACCCCTCCGTTGCTATATATACACTCCTCGAACGACTTCCCAATATCCCAGTCGTCTAAGGCAGGGCCTGCTAGAAAGCCTTACTGATGAGTCCACTGGCAGGCCCGGACGAAACGCGCCCCCTCCTTTCCTTTTCTGTCCTCCTACGAATTCTCACGAGATCCCCTACCCGCAGCGAAGCAGCGCCACAATTGGTGACCCGGACGGTGAATTGGACAACTAGGAAGCAGCTCGAGAATTTTTCCAGGAAACCGCAGACCCGCACGCAGCGTAGGACGAAGGAGGCAGCGCCGAACAACCGTGTCTAATCGTACTAGCAAATAGCTCTTTCGTAATCCCTCTCCTAAGGTGGCCTTTCGTTCACTCATCGCTCGGTCCTGACCAAATCTACCTGACGAGGCCGTCGTCTCCAGGAAGGACACAGATTGGCAGGATTCTGAGCAAAAGCAAGCAGCAATAGCACGCATAGTGGGGTCACAGGTAGGACAGCAGCATATACGCTCGATGACTTCAGCAGCGCAAGGCACGAGAACGACTCGCCGCGCCAGACGATCAGAGAACGACCACGCAGCAGCAGAAAGCACGCATATCCTACGGCAATAGAATCGAAGTTCTAGCCAGGATCAGAGAAAAAATCTCCAGTGATCGTCAATCGAGATAGAGGCGCTATACGAAGACACGACGACGACGACAAGTCCCAGAGGAACGGAACAACTGTAGATAATGTACATAGTATTCGATAAGTCCTGTAAATAGTAGACTTAATCCGGTATCGTTAGCACTGGCAGGGGGGTAATGTGGCGTCGCCTCCCATGCTCGCCACCAGAGGGGTCGCGCTCTCACAAGCGCTCGACCGACCCCTCCGTTGCTATATATACACTCCTCGAACGACTTCCCAATATCCCAGTCGTCTAAGGCAGGGCCTGCTAGAAAGCCTTACTGATGAGTCCACTGGCAGGCCCGGACGAAACGCGCCCCCTCCTTTCCTTTTCTGTCCTCCTACGAATTCTCACGAGATCCCCTACCCGCAGCGAAGCAGCGCCACAAATGGATGGCGGTGAGTAGCAGCATGTATATGTATATACTTAATAAAATAATGAGAAAAGTCTCATATTTGTGGTAAATGTAAAATGTACCTTATATTGGAACTTGTTGGTTTCATCCTCGTCGTGAACGGTGACCGTAAGAATTGGCATTTCTGGTAAATCCGGACCTTCTGTTTCGTCCACTTCGGTGAACCACTCAGCCTTTGTAAATTGTGGTGGCATATCGTTTATATCTTTCACTCGTATGGACGCCGTCCCTGTCCCTAAACATTCCAAACAATTATGTAAGGAACGAGAAAAGCTGACAAATGGATAACCGTTACTTTCATATATTCGTTTACCAGTTTTTTGAACTAATTGTAATTTTAAGAAATTTTTTAGTAATTTTATGAAGGAAGCAAAATTGAACAATGAATATTTTGTATTATATCTATTTGAATCGATGACTGTTCGCATTCCAAAAATTTTTGAATTTTTTCAGAACTATTTTGTAACATTTGAAATAATTCGTTTTCATTTTTTAATTCCTCGACTTTCAAGTTTTGTTTCAGATGGTTCCAAAACAGTGCCAGTAAAGTGTATGAATTTTATTATTTTTTCTAATTAAGATTACGATTTATTTTATAAACTCACCCTTTAACCCCCCTCCATCCATTGCAACGACCTGTATAGAATAATCAGGCGTGCGTTCTCTGTCCAAGCAGCATACCGCCGTTTTGATCACACCGGTACTCGATTCGATTTCAAAAATTGGCGAGCCGGTCTCTTCCTCGATAACATTCTTCTCAATGGAGTAAACCAGTTTAGCGTTCGTGCTTTCCTGTGGGTCGTCGTAGTCGACTGCAGTCATAGTCATCACGATCATTCCTGAAAGGATCAACCAAAACGATCGATCGTAAAAGGGATTCCCTCTTTGTTGGAGAAAGACAAAATCGACGTTTTAAATTGAAAATCGTGTAAAACATTAGTTAAATGAACATTTGCCAAGAATAGACAAAGTTTCTACAGGAACTAAATCAAATAATATTACATAATAATTGAGCATTTGTTATAAATATATAGTTAATCTGCATTAGGAATCGAATGAAACGGTTAATTATTCCAAATCAAAGTTATTTGATAAATTGAAGCTAAATAAAAAAGAGAAAGAAAATCATGAGTTTTGTATATTTGTTTCATTTTAAATAACGTAGTTGATGACATCATTCTGGTATAAGAAATATTCACGGTACAGCTAATATTTTTTCAAATGAAAAACAGTAAAAATATTAGTGTTTGTAATACTGATCCCCATTAATGTATTCTTTTACACCAGTGTAATTTTTACTTTTTCAAAACAGAATAAAAGTTTTTAACTTGAACATCTGTTCTACCTTGAAAAAATAAAATTTCGTTTATGTAAATGTAACAACGGACGAAAGATGACACTAAAATCAAACATTTTTACAGTTTCGTTCGGTTTCTATTCTGCATCTCTGTGCGATAGAAAATATTTAATACGTTAATCGATTTAACTGTACCTGCTGTGCCATTTTCTGTGACGTTGCCAGAGTAGACTCCCTGTGGGAATATTGGAGCGTTGTCGTTGATGTCTTTTAGGTTTACCTCGACGTCAGCGTAGCCGACCAGACCTTCTCCGCCTTCATCTTGAGCAAACACGGTAAATCGCCATTGCGGTCTTCCATTCGGTTGATCCCTGTCCAATGGCTGCAGAAAAACCGACGGATTACGGCCTCGAGTGACCGAAGACGCGAAGCAAATTTAATAAAGCAAGGAGCACGGCAAAGCTCCGCAATACTCTGTGTACTTGCCGACAGAAAGACGCACTTTCACGGATTACGACGGAAATACGATTTATAACGAAAAGCCAACTCAAGTTTGTCCCAGCAGTGGCGTGTAAACGCTGGCTGGATAATTTATGATCGATAAACTGTGTTTCCGAAAACATGTTCGATGATTTACGAACCTTTAGGACGAAGATTTCACCGGACGTGCGATTAATATCGAATTTACTGTTCGCTGGGTTGTCAGGATCGATTCCCTGACCTGTCAGGAAATAGACGATATTTTGTGGCCGCTCCTTGTCGCCATCGGTCGCCAAGACCTGTGCAAGAAACAAAATTTAAAATATATAATTAAAGTTTTCTCGTTCTGTTCGATTGCAATAATAGCCTCCTGATGCGAGGATTTGTTTAAAAAATGCAATACAATAATCATTCTTAAAATAAGCCCCAGACGTAATTCTATCCTTCCCATCTTGGGGAATCCCCCTTATAGCCCAGCACAGCGTGAAAAACAATGCTTTGTGAAAAGCCACCGGCGTGCTCAGCTTCTTCGTTAGACCTTCCCAAATGACATTTAATACTAAACCTATCACGACCGGTCAAATGACCGTTTTCAAGATTTCGTTTAGAATTTTTAATATAGAATGTTATTTTAGCACCATTTGGTAAGGAGGTCAACGACCTCACGACGTAAACAATAAAAAGTAAACAAACGCTTTAAACCCTTATACCTTTGAAACTAACCATGCTATCGATTTGAATGAACATTCATTTTAAAGGGGGTTTCATCCCCCTATCCGACGAATATATCAACTATTATTATTTATGCTGTCTTCTATGTTTATTATGAAGTTTGCTTTGACTCTATGCGCCCAAAGAACTGGTGTGCGATATAACTGGATTATAAATTGTTCGATCAATTGAAAATAAATTTAAAAGGATGTTTGCGTAATTATTAGCCAGCATTTTTTCGTAAATAATAGTTTCCTTTGGAACTAACTACGTCATCAACTTGAAACAAAATTCGTTTTTAAGGGCGCTTAACTTCTTTCTTAGGCGATATTAATTTTAAGAATCGTTACTGTAATGTTTCACACAAAATTTCTTCCACCGCGTACTACAATCTTAAATTTATCTTCTAAACTAAATATTCCAAATTTCATGTCACATTCTGTGCACCATGTTCTGCACATCATACTGCATATTTTATACACTTCATTATATATTCCATACAGTTCGTACTTTATATCTCGCATTCTTCGCTCTATATCTCACGTTCTGCATTTCGAAGTAGCTCAAATATAACATTCAAATGCCCTGTTATTTAAGTAATTTAAGAATTCTTCTTAAATTCTATGTCTAACATTGCAAATTTATTTTAACGCATCTCAAACAGAGACAACATTTTATTCGAATACGACTAAACGCTTCTGCACGACTTCGTACAATATGCAAGAGTGTTAGTAAGATAAATCTAATAATCTTTAAAATAAATTACATTGCTTGAATCGACTGCAATAATTTGTTTACTCTTCCTTTGAATTGCTCTATTTTCAAATTCTATTTATTTGCTGAATAATAACACAAATGTCATTATTAATATTACGAACGACAAACAAAGCGAGTATCGTTGTATAATTTTATCTTCATCGAGCAACGAAGCTTCACAAACATGGTGCAACATTCAAATTAGAGTGGCAGAATAATTTGATAGTATTCGGTGAAAATTTGACGCGACGAGAATAATAATTACCTGAAGGATACATTTTGGCAGATTTCTGTCATCTTCCTCGGTGATTTGCGTTTTGTAATTTTGGCGCTTGAAGACAGGCGGATTGTCGTTCACGTCCTTCACGTGTATCACGACCGTCGTGTTATTTTCTTTCAAGTTGTCCGAGGCGGTAAGGCGAAGCAAGTACTGCGAGATCAGAGCGAAACAAGTGGATAAGAGCATTCGCAGCAGCCGTAATCGAGCTGTTGAGACGACGGCATTTGTTCTCGGGAGCAATCAGAGTCTCGAAGAGAAAATTAGCTCAAAGGGATCCGTTTCGTAAATAAAAAATGGCACGAGGGCACGTAATTATACAAACAAAATTCTTCGGGAACCAGGAATTCGTTCTTTCGACTTTATGCGCGCCGGAAATTAACGACACGCTTAACTCGATGCGGGAATTCCAATGGAATAAAAGTTCGACCGCGTAAAAACTTTTACGAGGTCACCGAATTAACGGAAATTTAGCTGGAACATAAAGCTTTCCGGTTTAATGAATTCCGCGAGAATGTTGAATTATTAATAATGCTCTAGCGGGAAAATTTTATTTTATTATTTGAAAAGCGAGACAAAGGTAAAAACTAATTTCAGACTAGTGAGAAAGCTGAAATTTTTTGGCAAACATTCGATATCGTACTGTGTGGTGTATAAATATACCGAAATTTTTCAGTGTTTCAGACTTTTTAGTAGGTATTGAAAATTAGTTATACGAGCTTAAGGAGTATAATAATAGACGTAGTTAAATTAATAGCTACGTACCACGCAGCACGATCCTGATGATGTGCCTGAACCGCATATAACCGAAGAACGTATTAAAGGAACGACAAACGAGTGGACAGAGAACCGTGCAATAGCAGCAAAAGTTTTCGCGCTATTTCACAGTTTTATTGGCCCACTGGGTAATAAAATGGACAGTAACGCGGTTAAAGGGATTAACCAGGGACATACGCAGGGACATTTTGTGTTCTTTTTTTATCGTTTGATTGATGCACTAACCCTTTTCCTCGTCTCGTAATCCAATGCGCTTGCGACGTAGATGGCGCCAGTCATATTCTTCACGGCGAATGCGCCTCCTATGTTACCGTCCGTAATCTCGTATCGAATACGCGATGCTGTAAAACGTAAAAAATATATCCTCTTAGATGGAATTCTTAGAAGAAAAAAAAGAAAATTACGACGGCATTTACCGCCCTGCGCAGCCGTGCCACGGCGTACCGGCGAAATGTCCCGGAAACTTTCGTTCTTAATGGCGAAAGAAGTGTGGCTGGTCGAATTGTAAAACGATCCCTCTTGATTTAAATAACGGAAATTAAATTTCTTCTTCTGTTTGACGAGGAAATGAGGTTCCATTAGCGGCGTAACAAGCTGCCGAGTTCAATTTCGAGCAATCTATTTTGTTGCGAGAGCTTCTCTCGACCCTTTGCTGTTTGCTAAGTGTGTACATTAAAGACTGGACAGAGATCCAATATGGCGGCCAAATAACGTTTCTGGCTTCTTTTCTATTTAAATATGTTTACAAGTGCTGATTGGAGGATTTAAACCGTGGGAGCATATATTTACGAACGGTATAAATAAATTTGGGACAAAACTTTTACGAGAATAACTACCGAGACAAATTTCAAGTTACGTAGTTTACAATTGTCGAAAATTAAAGGTTTGGCACAATCTTATGAGATGACCCAATATTTAATATCTTTTATCCCATTTTGATCTCGATTTTATAAATCATTAAAAATGACTTTTCGTTCTACTTAAAGAAATGTTTATTTGCAACTAATGGAACTTATTTCAAGATGAAATCAATTCATTAATTCCCGCTTTCGAGTGGAAAAATTGGAAACGTTAAGAGAATTGATAATTCTGAAACCGAATGAAGCGTTATGATTTCTTCCCAGTCGTTTACGTTGAGTTTTAATGATCGACCTGCTATGTGATTGATTCTAAGTACGAGATTCGTTAAACCAGCCACTCTTCAAATTTTCACCATGAAAAATTTCCCACGGGGTTGCGTGCAATCATAAGTAGCAATGAAATTAGTTTTCCCACCTGAGTTCTTTCGTGCACGAACCAAAGCGACCAAGTCGCTGAACTTTGCCCTTAAACGAGTTTCATTAGAATTTAATAACGCCGAACGTCCAAGTTCTTAATTGGTGCCCGCTAGATAAATATGTTTCGCGACTTCGTTCAGCCATCCAGTATTTAAACTTCCGTAAGCAGTTAACGCGACTTCGAAGTAAGTCGCGGACTGCTAGACGGATTTTGTTATCCGATGTAACTTGTTATCCGGGTTAACACTTTAATGGCCCCACGTTTCATCTTAGCACGTTAGAACCTCCCTAAAACTCCTATTCGACCCGATATCAAATTGAATACTTTATAAATATTGCATTGGTTTGTCATTAAACAAACATACAAATACCAATTTTATTAAATCACAATACAGAATCAAAGTTTCTAATTAGTTTATTCGAATTTAGGTCGATAACCTATCAACTGCTTTTGAAGACGAATCGTCGATCGATTTGAAACGGCTTCAAACAAGTTCTGACTAAATATAAGACTTGAAACGGTTTCAAATAAGTTTCTGACTAAATATAAATACTGACTAGATGCTAGGAATATTATTACAAGGACTTTCAAATATGATTGAAGTACTTTTCGACCAAATATGAAATTGAACACTTAATAAATATTAGTTCTACATAGTTCCACTATTAAACAAACATACAAATGCCAATTTTATTAAATCACGTAGATATCGTCCTAAATATTAAAGATAGTGTCTTCAAAGTTTTTAATTTTGAAGACGATTCGTTGATCGATTTCAAACGGCTTCAAACAAGTTTTTATACTAATCAGATGCCAGAAATATTATTGTAAATACCATAGAAACGATTGAACAAACGTAATAAATTGAATAGATGACGACATGGTGAAGTCACGTACACGTGACAGCGGCTATCAAAGCGTTAAGGATAATACTTTATACTTGGCGTATGAAATCATTATGCGGAAAAGAAAGAAGACACGCGTCGAGAAGTTCTGCTGGCCGATGTGAAATCGTTTACGCGGATCGAAAATTATTTTCAGCCGCGCGATGCTTTTATCTTTCCGTCCGCGTCGAGAAATTTGATTTCTCGATTTTATTTTGTCAGCGATAAAACTTATTCAATTTAAAGTTTCATCCTGCGCGAGCAAACAGGAAGTTATTTCGTACGACTGTTCCAAATAATTCTTGCCCGTCGAAAACAAATCTTCTTGACCTTCGTTTTTAGTCGGCCAAGTTAGAAGGAAACATTTTTTAAACTAAAATAAAATATCGCTATTTCAACTGCAAACACTGGACGCTATTTACTTTGTAAATAATTGATAACGAACGTTTGGAAAAAGAATAAAAATCAGTATGCATCAAAGAATTGATTTCTTTTTATGAAAAAAATAATGTAACAAATGTAAAATGTATATAATAAAGGAAAAATTTAATCTATTGATAACCGTTATCAAAATTTGAGTAATACTATTAGTGCTATTTAAATTATTAGATTGTAAACAATTTATTTGCTTTTTATTAAATATTGTGGTTGAAAGTAATTACTTTGAATAAATTTTCTATTGAAAATGAATTTAAAATCAGTTTTCTTCCAACGCATAAGGTTTAGGTTGGTTTGAATAATCAATTTATTTATGTAGTCGAATTACTATTAAATGGTCTTATACTCGTAAAAAACTGACTATTGCAATTTTGAAGTGTGAATCTCGAAGTGTGTCACACCGTCGACGAAAAATTATCATAATACGACAGAAAAAAAATTCTACTGGCACGTGTCACGGAAAAAGGACGCCCCTCTTTGAACTCTCAAAGCTAAAAGCTGAGTAGTAGATGCATTCACTCACATTCGTCATGATCTTTGGCGGTGACAGTGAGGACCGTGTGCTGAATATCTTCATTTTCGTCTACTTCTGCCTCGTAGAGATCCTTGTCGAAATAAGGCGGATTGTCGTTCTTGTCAGCTATTCCAATACGGATGAATTTTGTTACTGTAACAGACAAAAAAAAGTCACCGCGTTAAAATCTCGTTTCATTAATGCGCCTCGTCGCGATATGGAAGTCAGCGAATACAAATCGCGTGAAATCCTCTTGAAGAATGCAAAGCCTTTCATATTTTCATCTGATACATATATCTTGGAAATGTAAATTCAATTTTTCTTTTCCCCCCCAAATCCCCTGATTTCTGGAAGCTCGCATACAGTCAGCGAAGAAAAATTCGAGGACGGTTGAGAATATTCAGACTCGGTGCTATTTATAATACTTGATTAACACCGTTTCTACCAAAGGTGTCAGAATACATCTTTTAAAATTTGAAATTATTTTATAAATCAATTTTCACTTTATAAAAATGTTTAGTTTAGATAGCGATGTCTTTCAATTTAAAAAAAAAGTTAACAAACGTTTACTTATTTTCAATTTCTTTTATAAGTTTCTGTTTACTAAATTATATACAATGTTATAATCTAATTAAATATATTTAAATTTAAGGCACTTTTAAAACTATAGCTTTTATAATGATTTTGTAACGGGAATGTGGTTTATTATTCACAAAACAAAGATAAAACTTTTACACTTGATTTTGCGATACGGTCGAGGGTTTACACGTACGGTTTTGTCACGGCGCGATTTAAAATCTAACTGGCGGAGGTAGTTTTGGTGATAGCCGAACGCGTAGTTTGGTCGTTACTACGACTCGCGGATCGACTTTCTTTGGAGAAGGAGTGTGGAAGTGCCGTGGGCCGCGTAGGCAACGTCTTCTTCCACGAGGAGTGATGAGAGAGGATCTGTAGAGGTGCCGTCGGAGACGTCTTCCTCTAGAGTGTTGGACAAGCTTTTGGTACCGGTCACTGTATAGATCTCGGTTTCCTCGGCTTGGGCGTTGGGATGGTTTGGGATACAAGGTTGTGGAGTGCCGAACACCGTAAGCGTCGTCTGCTCGTAACCTCTGTAGTCTAACCTTGACTCGTTTGATTTTGGGGTTACTCACTGTGTGTTTGCAGTACCGTGGGTTTACTCCCTATAACCTGCAATTAGCATGTTAGGTTGGTGTTGTTGTGGAATTGTGTTGTGTAATGTTTTATCTAGTTAGATTTCATGTTTGGAGTTAGAGGGAAAAGTTTCAAAAACCTCTACGACATGCATCTTGCGATGAGAATGATGGGTTGTATGTCAAGTTATGAAATGGTTAGTGTAGGGGTTTTTATGCGCATTTTGAGAGGAATGTCTTCGGGTTTGTAGTTCCCTATCGCGGCTACTAGGGAATTTGGGTGGCTGAGGTTGGCGTTAAGTGTTTTACGAGTTATCCTGTTTATGAACGCGGAGATGAGTTCTATTTTTGCCTCTATGTGTAGGGAAGCTGTGGTGTGATATCTGGGTTTATTGAGAATTATTTTGAGATATTTGCTCTGAATGACCTGAATTTTGTGGAGGTAGGATTTGGGTGCGGTGCACCAGACTTGTGCGCCATATGTGATTATGGACCTGATGCAGGTTTTGTAAAGGCGAATCTTCGTTTTTAAGGGGAGTGGGCTATTGTTGGCAAGTAGGGGGTAGAGTGTATGTAGGACGCCAATGCCCTTGCAGGCTCTGTCTTGGATGTTGGGGAGCCAGCTGAGTTTTTTATCAAACCATATGCCTAGATATTTGACCTTGTTAGCCCATTGTACAGGGTGGTTGTTTACTCTGATGTTGTTTGCGTTGGGGGATTTTTTTCTAGTAAAAAGGATGGCCTCAGTTTTTGTGGGGTTAAGGGTTAGTTTCCAAGTATCTGTAAATTGGGAGATTTGATCTAGGTGTGCTTGTGTATATTTTACTGCCTGATTTGGGTTCCAAGAAGATGCGTATATTGCTGTGTCGTCTGCATAGAGGGCAATTTTGGTGTTTGAGTTTTTGGTGATATCGTTGATGAATATGTTAAATAATACTGGGCCTAGGACTGAGCCTTGGGGGGCCCCTGTGTGGATAGCTTTGTATGTGGACTGGGAACCGTTGAGGGATACAGTGATTTTCCTGTCCGAGAGGAAGCTCTGTACTATCTTAATGGTGTGTAAGGGTAGGTTGATTCTGAGGAGTTTGAGGAGGAGGCCATTGTGCCATACAGTGTCAAAAGCTTTCTGTAGGTCTAGCAGTACTAGTACCACTGATCTGTTCTTGTTGATCTCAAGAGCAATGTCCTCCTGGAGTCGGAGGGCTTGATGGATGGTGGAGTGGTTGGCTCGAAAACCAAATTGCTCCTGTATCAGAATACTCTCGTTTGATTTGGAAATCTGTGGGCTATTTCTAGGAAAAGGACGGACCATGGAGAGAAGGGTTTTACCTTTGCGCGGTACCTGCAGTCGCTCTGTACAGTGCCGCGTACGGGGTTTTTCCACCTCAGGGGCGTCGTCGTCGCAGGTTCCTGAACGGGGCGCCGCGTTACAATGATGTTTACATTTAATTTTACACGTTACACCATCAAATAAAAAAAAAAAAAAAAATAATTTTTATCGATTGTTCCGAATCCTGATATTTCACATTTAATTCCTGTAGGTAATTTAATGGAAAATTCACGCGCGATAATTGATTAGCTTCCTCTGCGGACCGGAGATTTGAGAAATCGGTTATCGATCGTCGCGATAAAATAGTTAAATGAAGACAGAAGTTCGTTATGGAAGCAGCGATGGGAACTAATTGATTATAAATTCTTAACTTCGCTAAAGTTCATTTCCTAACTCGTTTACCGTTTAAAAAGAAACTGGAAATGTTGGATGAAAATAAGGGTTATTATTTATCTTCTGTATTAAACAACTATTTTTAAGAATATAATATGATAAAAGTCACGCTATTGTGTTGTTACTGTATTGTCTAATGCAATTATTCGAATCGAGTCAACGTCTGTGTATTTCTGCAAACTTCTGTTAAAAATTTTGAATTTATTAGTTGAATTTTTAACAGTGATCCAGTATGGTTGCAATTTTATCACTTTACAGAGTAATATGGAATGATGTGATAAACTATTCGCTTCATAAATGGGAAGAAAAATATGCATGTTCATTCCGTTTCATTTTTGAGACTCAAATTTAATACTTCTCTCTGAAATATTAAAAATTGTACCACAAGTTACGATAATATGAATTCTAGGTTCCGATTTATATGTTTGTGATATTTACAATGAATTTGTGAATTCAATGTAAGCTTAAATTACAGGGAACATTTCTGGAATAAACTATCAACCGTTATTATGCAATTAAATTTAATAAACTTATTAAAAAAAAGATATTTTTTGTTCTTTCAGCACATTCGTTTATTTTAAAACATAACTAACTATTGACAAAGACAAAATTCCAATGCAATAATCGAGTACGAGGATTTAGGAATATTTCAGAATTAAAATTGATTTAAACTCTACAAATGTTTTGTCTCAAAACAATAATTCTTTATATTATAATATATAAAGAGAATTAGGATTAAAAATCCAATGTTCATTAAACGAGCAATTCCAAACAATTTAACATTTCTTATTTTTAAAACTTAATCAATCGATTCCTTTGCCTATATTTTCTTAAATTGAAATGCAAATACCACAAGTGTTGACTCATTGGGCTCGCTATTGTTTCTCGAAGTTCCGTCGAGCATTATAATTAGACTGCGGATCTTTATGCAAATTCACATTTTTATTAATAAAATGAATGAATCGGAAGCTTCGCAGAGGGCTGTCTCAACCCCTAAATATTAGGTTGGGGAAAAAGGAATCCATTATTTTTGCGTGAACTTCAAGACTTTATTTAACATGTTTCGGATTTTCCGATTTGGGTCAAATATGCGCCGTTCTGTTCTATAATTTATTGCCATTTTAAAGGTAGCTTTATAATGCCTCTCTCATAGAAATCTTGGTCCTTATTGGCGAAAAACTCTAGTAACCGATTTTCATAATATTCTCTTGATGCCAATTTCTTATCACTCAGGTAGTTTTGCAATGCGAGAAAAATATGGTAATCACTTGGTGCCAGGTCCGGACTATATGGTGGATGCATTAAAACTTCTCAACCAAGCTCCCGGAGTTTCTGGCGAGTCACTACAGACGCGTGTGGCCTAGCGTTGTCCTGCTGGAACACAACACCTCTTCTGTTGTCCAATTCTGGCCGTTTCTGGTCAATCGCTAGCTTCAAACGGTCCAGTTGTTGACAGTAGAGATTCGAATTTACTGTTGGGCCATATGGAAGGAACTCATAATAAATGATTCCTTTCCAGTCCCACCAAATGCATAGCAGAACCTTCCTGGCCGTTAGTCCTGGTTTGGCCACCGTTTGAGCTGCTTCACCGCGCTTTGACCACGATCGTTTTCGCACAATATTGTCGTATGTGACCCATTACTCATCCCCAGTCACCATCCGTTTAAGAAATGGGTCGATTTCATTCCGTTTGACTAAGGCTTCGCAGATGGAAATTCAATCCATCATGTTTTTTGGTGTTAATTGGTGTAGCACCCAAACATCGAGCTTCTTTTTGAATCCAGCTTTGTGCAAATGGTTTAAAACTGTTTTATGGTCGATCTTTAGCTCCTGGGCGATGCTACAACTACTAACATGTCAGTCAACTTCGATTATTTCTGTAATTTTATCGACATTTTCGACGACGGACCTGCCTGTGCGAGGTGCATCTTTAGCATCAAAAATACCTGAACGGAATCGACGAAACCAAAATTGCACGTAATTAGCCGTTACAGTATAGGGACCATATACACTATTTACAATTTCAGCCGCCTGGCTTGCATTTTCGCCTTTATCAACGAAAAACTATAAAATGTACCGAATTTTCTTTTTCTTGACTTCCATTTTTAACACCCTGTAACTCACAACTGAATAGACCAAATAAAAAACAACAAAAGAAATTTTTTAGTGTGAAATGTCACCTTGCAAAGAGCATAAATCTAAAATTGTTTGATCGATACTTTACGAGATATCGATCACTACAGACATCTACCGACAAAATAATGGATTTCTTTTTCCCC